ATACCTATCTAGACTTAAAACACAATTGATTAAAATAAAAAAATAAATATCTTATCAAATTACGATATAAAAATAAATAAAAAATATTAGAAGTAAAAATTTCATATATTACACATCATTTGTAGAGGTTTCATTGCAAGTTAAAGATCCTGCTTGGGATGATGATTCATTCAGAGAAGGTTTGTCTTGATATGGATCACCTTGGTATAATTCATTAGAGTATGATTTATTTTGGTATAAATCACTTTGATATGATTTATCTTGGCACGGTTCATCTTTGTATGATTTATCTTGGTATGATTCATCTTAGTATTATTCATATTGATTCAGGTAATATTCTTCTTGGTCTGATTCGTCTTGAATCAAGTAAGATTCATTCTGGTACAAATCATCAAAGGAAAATTCATTATGATACAAGAATAGTAGTCCACTCTCTTCAAATTCATCTTGAGAATATGACTTGGTTAACATTGGAGTTTAAGCAAATTACCTTAATATTCTAATGTAAAAATAGCCAATTTTTTCAATATGTGTATTCTTTAATATAATCTTTAATCAAAAAAAAATCTCACCATAACAAGGTCAACAGAAACCGACTGGAAATAGATTGTAAAAAAAATTTTTTTTCTAAATGCAGTACAGTATATACTGTATGTTCTTTTTTTTTATTAAAAAAAAAAAAAAAAACTGTTTTTTTTGGAAAAAAAGCGTAATAGAAATAAGAAAAATTTCTTAGGCTTCTGAAAATTTTTCAGGCTTTTTCTTATACTTTCTCTCGTACTTTTCTAAAAAAAAAAAAATGAAAGCTTTAAAATACAAGTTTAGATGCAGGCTTTTACTAAATGCAAGATTTGATTAAATACAGATTTTAGCTTTTTTTTTAATATCATATTATAGATCTTTATTGTCGAAATGCAAAACTGCCATCCTTTTTTCGTACGGGTCATTCTTATTCAATGTTTTTTAGGTAAAAAAATTCTGAGAATGTTCGATAGCAATATAAGAAATGAGCTTTGCCATAATTATAACATATTTACATAATATTTAGCAGATTTTGGCGGAGTTTGCCAACCTATTCTTTAGAATATCCAAAACAAGAAATCAGCTAATCAACGTATAGTATTATAATGGACCGGACCAGGTATTACCTGGGTGGACCTACGTGAAGGTCCGGATCCATATCGTTCTTAGTAAATCATGAGTCCGGTCCGGGTCCGGTTGACAGACTGGACCGGACCCAGACTGGACCCAGATTTTTTGCGGAACACTACCTACAGGAGTTCAAAATGTTGTCAAATAAAAATCAAATGAGTTGATTTACTAAAATTTATATGTAAAATTTAACAAAAAAAATACTTTTCTTTAATTTACTCAATAAAGTAAATATAAAAAATAATTTTAGATATGTGACTTACAGTATATTCTTTAGCATTTAATGATTTTTTAATAAAAGTTATAAATCTAAATACCAAGTAGTTTTAAAAGGATCTTGCTTTAAAGTTGGTATATTATTTTTTCTTTACAACCCCTGTAAAATTAAAGCAATAATATTATTGGCTAAAGCAATCTTGAAAATTAAAGAAAGTTCTACTAACAGATAAAGAAACATCTTCTGTTAATGCTCCACAGTTCCCGGATGCAGGAAATTTTATGAGTGCAAAGAGAACATTATTAAAGCTGAAGTTATTTGGCAGAATGATATTTCTAAAACGTAATATGAAATCAATTGGTTTTACTGTTCCTGAGATCTAGGATTAGTATAAGGTTGTTTTATAATGCAAAACAGCAAATGCAAATCATATAGCGATAGTAGCATAATTGATATATAAATTATATATTAAAAATGATAGCAGTACAATTGATAAATGTTACACTAAATTTTTTAAAGATTCATCAAACATTCGAACATTGGTCAAAATTTTTTTACCGATGCTCGAAATTCTAGAGTTTGTGATCAACCAATGCTCGAAACTCATCGATTCCACTCTCTAATTTACGGTACTATAAAAGCCCCAACGGAGTAAATTCTTTGAATTCACAGTGATTTATAGAGAATTTTTTACATGTACTCAATTTTTTGAAAAATATCTGTATATATATGTATATATATATATATATATTTATTTATTTTGTATAATGACTACGTAGGAAAAATAAATTCCTCTTAGCTAAGATCGTTACTAGAATTATTCGACTAATTTTGATTCTTATCGTTATTATTTTTGTGATTGTTTGCCAAACCAAGCCAGCCGTTAGTACTACGTGAATCGAGTACGTTATTATTTAACTAAATCCAGAAATTCAGAAATCTGAATCATTATCTTAATTTGTTGGATATTTAACGTTAAATGCTAAATCCGAATCACAACTCGAATTAATGTTAGAATAATGCAAAGCGAAATATTATTTCGAGATTACCCCCGTTCTATTGCCCTTCGACCGATTCAAATTGAAAATTATGGTAACCCCTACGGAAAATCAAATCCTTTATTATTATTATTTGATCAAGTACAGCAAAGTTATAACGATTCTCCATTACAATGCAATGTAAGACTTCTACGTGAATCTGATATTGATATAATGGAGTATCGACAGCTTGGCTCAAGGGCCGTTTATGGGTGCCTTGGATTGCTTCAAGTTGAACGAGGTAATATATTATTCCTTTTTTCGTAAATTTAAACATATAAAAAACTATTACTTATATATCTTAAATTTTAAGAAATGTTCCTAGCGGTTGTAACAGAATGTATTCCTCTTGGGGAAATTCGTTCAAATGAGTCCGTTTTTCGAATTATCGACGTAGAATTTTATTCGCTTACCAATAATACACGGTATTCTGTTTCAACATCCGCCAGCAATAGATATTATGATGATAGTTCGCTCAACGAATCGTCACAACAACAATCTTATGAACATCCATGTACTCAATTAAGAAAGTTACTATCAAATGGCCACTTTTATTTTTCTTCGGATTTTGATTTAACAAAAACTTTGAACGTTAGGTATAATTTGTAATTTTATTCCCCTGATCCACGGATCTATGAGCACATAAATTTTATAATAAATTATTTTATTATAATATCAGGTCGAGAACATCATCAGCGGATAAATATACTTATGATGATCATTTCCTATGGAATAAATTCATGATTAATGAATTGTTGAACTTTAGATCTAAACTTAGCAAATTAGAGCAATCAGAGATGGACACTTGCGGTTTTCTAGTAGGTTTTCTTTTTGTACCTTTGAGTCAAGTTTTGTAAATCAGGGTTTTTCTCACATGTTTGTCTTAATTCAAAGGTGTTAGCTATTCAGGGATACGTTGGAATACAAGAAACAAGGATTGATTCTTCAAAGGTGACCTTATCACTCATATCTAAATTGAGTTGTAAACGTGCTGGTAAGTTTCTCTTTTAATTTTAATATTTGCCATTAGTATTCTCTGATGAATAATAATCTATTGATTCTTTTCAAGGAACAAGGTTCAACACTCGTGGAATAGATGATGATGGCAATGTTGCTAATTTTGTCGAGGTATTGATTGTTTATATTCGAATGAACAAATATATGTAGTTGCAATTCAATGACTTGCGATTAATCTTTCAGACTGAAACGATATTACAACTGCCTGAAACATGCTTTTCTTATATCCAAATTCGAGGGAGCGTGCCAGGTATTAACATTAATAATTATGATGGTATATATAAATCAATATGAATTCATTATAATTCCGTTGTTTTAGTATTCTGGGAACAGCAGGTAAAGCAAGTTTTTACCTCATAGTCATTTTTCTTAACTGTCACATAAATTCATCTTATTTTTTTTTTATTACTTTAAGGGATTACAAGTAATGTCTCATAAAATTCAGATATCGCGTGGTCCTGCAGCGACACAACCCGCTGTCGAGCGTCATTTCAATGAATTACAGAGCAGATATGGTGATGTACATATCATAAATCTTCTTGGAGTTAAAGAGGGCGAATATGTATTGGGCAAAGAATATAAAGATCGTATAATAGATTTAAACGGAAATGGCTTAGAAAATAGGGTGTTGTTTACAAATTTTGACTTTAATTCGATTTGTAAAACTGGAAATTATGAAAATATGGTACAATTATTTAGCTTGATTGGAGAAAAGCTAGAATATTTCGCGTTCTTTGCTCTGGATAGAGAAACGAACAGTCCCATATTTTATCAAAAAGGAGTTTTTAGAGCCAATTGCATGGATTGGTATTTGTTGCTATTTTTTATTTTATTTTTATATCGTAATTTGATAAGATATTTATTTTTTTATTTTAATCAATTGTGTTTTAAGTCTAGATAGGTAT